AAAAGTTGGAATTTCAACGAAGCACTGTTTGCAGCGAACAAATTGTGAATTACCAACATCAACAGTGATTGTGAACGAGAAGAAAGCAACACGTACAATTATGCATTACAGGTTTCTGAGAATTGTCATTCACGGAGTTATTTTTTTGGGCCTAATTTCTAGTTCTGCCTCTTCCACCTCTGCATGCATCTGTCTGACAAGCATGTTTCCATGTTTTTCAGAAATTGTTTTTTTCAAAAACTTCCAAAAATTTTCAAAAATTTTCAAAAAAATTTCCGAAAGACAAGCATGAAATTTCCAAAACACTTCTCATATTGGGTGATAAACTGCGGCCGCTTGAGGGCTGAATAACCTTAGAAGAAGTGGACGATCCAAAAAAATCAAGATGTGGGACACACGGTCGAAGTCAGAAATAGCAAAACGAAGGGTGGGATAAGATTGTTAAAATAATTTGCAACCGTTGGTAGGCCGAACCGTAATCTCTGAAACGAACGAGCAGCCCGAAGCATGAAAAATGTGGAACGGCCACAGTCTGAAATTTTGAACCTAGGATAGGATTAATTTGATAAATTATGATGGAAAAGATAGTAGGGCTGTTCATTTGACACAAATTGAATATTGAATATCGAAGGTTCAACTTCTTATTGGAGTAGTTGACCTCTCTACGAATCGTTCATTCGTTTCGATATAAATTGATAGTGGCGCATGATAAGTTCGTTATCATCTTGCTTTTCAACCTTCGTAAATAGAACTGTGAACATACTTGCCAGTGGAGTGATTACTGTTGGCAGTGTGCCAATTTTCACATATATCTGTTAATACGAAAACTTTTGGCTTTTTTTGTGAATTTTTTTTTTCTGTTTTTCTCTTTTTTTTTTATAATTGCATCTTCGTTATTGTGGATTACTGCAGGGGGAAGTTGCAGGAGCCAAGCCTTGCCGAGCTCCAAGCAGCATTCCCGGATATCGGTATTTTTTCGTGGATACATTTTGAAGGTATGTCCCAAGAAATGTATTTTTATCAGTTCTTTTTTGCCGGTTTTTAAAAAAAAATTTTATTTTTTTTGCATTACACATCTTTTTTTTGTGCCGGTTTTTAAAAAAAATTTCATTTTTTTTTTTGCATTATACATCTTTTTGTGCCGGTTTTTGCGGGTTTTGCGCAAGGCTTACTCTTGCATATCGCTCATCGAAAGGATCTCTTCTTTCCTTCCGTTCGTTCTTTCTTTGCCAGATTTATCTCTAATTAGTAGGCATGATTTCTTCCTTCTTCCGGGATTTCTTTCTTTTTTTTGTATTTCAGATTTGATAAGGGGCATAAAAAAGCCATCTGAGGCTACTTATTTTTGAACGAAAAACGATAACACTTGGAATATTTGGTCCAAGTCTAATTCATATTGTTTCTCCAGCTAAGCATCTGACAAAATTTCCCACCTGATTTGACCAGCATATTGGCGGTCTTGACGTCCATTTCATTAGCGGATTGTCAGCTCAGCAGTTTCCCAGCCGAACCGCTTGTTGAGGCTTTGGACTGGCCATTTACTTCAGAAATTACGGTTCGGCCTACGGTTAACTATCAGTTTAACCCATACCGGGCGATCCGTCCACTTACGATTCGGCCTTCCAATGGCTGTTACTTATCATTTTAGTGTTTTGAAATGCCCTTCGTTGGTTGAATACAGCCAGTTCGTGCCGAACTGATACGGGGCATGTTGTCCCTCTCAGATCAGAATGAGATACTTTATCGAATCGAATAATTGTGGAAATATAATAAAAAGCAAACTGAAAAAAATGCGAATTTTAATTTCTTTTTTTATCCAGGACGAAACTTTGAAAACCTTTTATCAATGATACGTTTTGTTCACGATCAACGAAAAAACCAACGACCGAAAATATCGCTAGAATGTGAGAAAGTCCGAGATTTCGAGACTCTCGAAGATGCCATACCGTTTGCGGATGTAATTTTTGTATCCAAGGATTTTGCAAGGTTTATTTCCTATCGTTTGGGTTGCTATAAAACCTGCTTTGATCGGCTTTATTTTCACTGTCGCGTTCTTTTTCGCCACTGATGCGGCTAATAAATTCCCCATACAACTCTATTTTGGACCTTTCACATACACACAGTTTCCTACTGACGTATCTAAAGAGTATAAATGGATAAGAGGAAGACAATCTTTATCCAGTTTTTCTACCAGTTTTAGCGAAAAAATTGCTCACTGAACAGCTAGGTTATTTTTAAAGAACGACCGTTAAATGGAAGTTGTTTATTTCTTTTATGCAAAATTTACGATGATTTA